TATATATATATATATATATATGGAGCAATAATGTAGAATTGCTTACTTAAGCAATTAGTTTCAAATTTATTTCAATTCCAAACGATATCAATTTTATTCTTGACACATTTTACATAATATAACCGAGAAAAGAATACATATTATAATTGAAGACGTTGAGTGCAGATTTACATTATTTAATTTTTTAAATTTAGTTCTTATCTTTGTTTCAGGCTGTTCATTAATTTCTATGTTTAAGTTGAATAAATGTACTGATATTTAGTATTGTCATAACTATTATTGTATTTGTGTGCTGTTTTTTAATAAATCCTGTAAATACAAATATATACGTAGGTATATATATATATATATATATATATATATATATATATATATATATATATATATATAAAATAATCTTTATTTGCGTAAAACATGGTATAGATGTTGTTCACAGGTAAAAATCGAGCGCTCATGTTTTGCTTATTTTACATAGCATGCAAATATTTTGAACAATGTCAAATTTTTTTTAACTATTTGAAATACCTGAGTCACCTGATTTAGTTAACAAAGAGAAATAATATTATAATAATTAATTACATGTCAATTTCAATACCTAATAATAGTCGCATAGTTTAATCAAAGATATATTGTAACAATACTATAGTTTGTTATTTTATATTTATTACAATAATTAAATGATTTTTTTTAATAAATATTATCCAGTACTTAATCTAATTTATTTTCAAGAATTGTTTTACACTATAGAGATTATTTTCATTCAGCCATTTGTACAATTTCCTTTTGAACAATGTAATATTTAGGGTTTTAAGTTCGTCAGGGAGTTTATTATATATTCGGACACACATGGTAAGGCAACTTTTGCTATATTTTTGTGATTTAGGTATATCCTTAAATACTAGCTTGTGTGGGTCCCTACGTGGGCGAGTAGGCTGTACCTCACAAGCTTTTTCAAATAATTGTTTGTGTCTCTGCACATATACAGAAACTTCTAAAATATATATCATTGGTAGTGGCAGTATTCCAAGACCTTTAAATAGAGGCTGACACGATTCATCGGGTCTTACTCCACAGATTGCCCTAATGCACTTTTTCTGAGCAATAAAAGCCCGATTCCAATCCGAACTATTTCCCCACATCACCAGTCCATAACGGAGTATAGACTCGGCATATGCTCGGTAAGTCATAACAGACGTTTTTATGTCAGTCACTTTTTTTATTTGGTTGAGCGCGTAAGAACATTTATTTACTTTATTACAAACTTCATCGATATGTGCTTTCCAGTTCAGATTCTGGTCTATGACCACACCTAAAAATTTTGTTTTTCTATTTGATTGATTTTTATAATGTTTAGTTCGAAATTGTACTGGTTATGTTTTGACTTATTAAATTGAATAAAATTTAATTTTGCCAAGTTAATTTTTAAATTGTGAGCTTGTAGCCATTCAATTATATTATCAATTGTTTTATTTATGTCCAATTCATGATTATATATTGAATTTTTGTTTTTTTTTAGTCCTAACTACTATAACCGAAATGTCATCAGCGTATGTGATACATTCATGACTTGTCGCATCAGATATGTCATTAATATATAATATAAACAATATAGGCCCTAAGATACTGCCTTGTGGAACTCCATTAATATTTTCAAGGCAGTTGGATTTATATGTTCTTAGTTCTTTATTTATTAATTTTGTTATCGTGACACATTGAGTACGATTTGTTAAATACGAAGCAATCCATTTCAACATAATACCCCTTATTCCTATTTTTTCCAATTTATTTAATAATAGATCGTGTGATACGAAGTCAAATGCCTTAGTTAAGTCAAAAAACAGTCCCGTAGTCAAATAATTATCATTAATATTGGTCAACACTGTATTTATTAGGTGATGAATAGCTAAGTTAGTCGATTTATGTTTTTGAAAGCCATATTGATTTTTATTTATAATGTTAAACTTATTGCAAAATTCTAGGAGCCTTTTATAAATACACTTTTCAAATACTTTTGAAAGTATAGGTACAAGGGTAATTGGGCGATAATTACTAACGACGTTTCTGTTGCCACGTTTGTGTATAGGCTTTACAATGGAGGACTTTAATGTTTCTGGAAAGCTTCCTGATGAGAATGACAAATTGACAAGATGAGTTAAAACGTCAATTATTTTATCAATGCATGACTTCAATATGTGTGTATTTATGCCATCGTAGCCTACATAGTTGGTTTTATTTAAGGTCATTACCTCTAATTTTACTTCATTTACTGACATGGGTTTAAGGAACATTGTGTTTAAGTTAAAATTGTTCGTAATATAAGAGCCTTCGCCATTGTTTACATTATTAATACTAATTTTTCCGATGTTTGTAAAGTAGTTGTTAAATATTTGGGATATTTCTTCCGGGTTTGCTATGTCGGAGTCGTCAATTTTTAGATAGTCAACAGAAGCTTCACTTTGTGTTATACCTATTTCATTTTTTGTTATAGACCACGTTGCTTTACATTTATTATTACTATTTTGAATAAGTTGTATGTTTGCAAGTCTCTTAGATTTATTTATACATTTTTTTAGGATATTTGAATATGTAAAATATTTCTGTTTATTGCTTGCTGATTTATGTGTATAATAGTTATATCGGAGTTTTCTCTTTGTGTTACCCACATGCGATTGTTTTTTTTTTTGAGTTATTAACCTTTACTTTTTTAGTTGGGAAACACAAGTCGTAGAACACCCTGAAGTTCCAATGAAAGTTATTGAAGGCTATATTCAAGTTAGGTTCACTATATACTTCAGACCAAGAGAGGCTATTCAAGCATTCCTTAAATTTTTTAATATTTTCTAAAGAATAATCTTTTTTGAGTGAGTAGTAGGATTTTTCTGTTTTAGGAATATTTTTTTGGATTGGTCTTGGAATACTCAGTAGTTGCGCTGTTTCATGATCCGACAGATAGAGAGGCAGTACATGAGCAGTAGCGTCCTTTACATTACTGAGGATGTGATCTATACACGATTCTTTGCGAGTTGGAACATCGATATGGAGTTTCAAATTATAGTTATTGCAAAGATCTTTTAAGTGGCATGCCAGGCTGCCAGGTTTCAAAGTATTTATATTAAAGTCACCTACTATAACAATGTTGTAATTTGGTTTTACTTTTTTTGATAAATCATGTAGTAAATACCTCAATTTATTTAGAAATATGGTAGGGTCAGAGGAAGGGGTTCTATAAAAACAAATAACAATTAGCTTGTGAAAAGGTATTACTATGCCACATACCTCAAAAAACTTTTTGCATAGCATATGTTTGTAAGTGTGTGAGTTCAGTGAAATTAATATGGTTTTTTGTCAAGATTCACGTACCACCTCTATTCTTATCCCTACAAAAAGCAGCGGCCAAGGTATAGCCATTTATTTTAAAATAGTTTTTGTAACAAGCTTTTAAAAAAGTTTCTGAAAGGCATATTATTTCTGGGATTTTATCTTTTCCAAATAGTTCAAACAACGTTAATTCCAGCGATTGTTTTGATAATATACTAGCTATGTTTTGATGCATGATATTAAAATATTGTAACTTATTAAAATATTGTAACTTATCCTCGAAATAAATCATTTTTATTAATTACGGGAAAGTAGTGTGGGATAGTTCCCTTTTTCTTAGATGTAACATTTTGGCGTGTAACAGGATCAGCGGGGCTCAACCTAGCCAGGTCAATATCAGTATTTTTGGGTGGGAAATAGTAAGGTATTGTTCCCTTTCGGATAATATTCTGATTTTTTAACGTCAGGTTTGGTTTACTGCCTATCACCAAGTTTTTCAAGTTTCTTATATTTAAAAAATTTTCATTGTAATCAATACAGTCAATAGTGTAGTTTATAGATTTACATAATGAAAATAAATTGTTATTATTAAATTTAACAAAATGGCAATTTTTAAATCGATTACATAACATTTGAATTGTATAATTTACGTCAGTGAAACTGATATAGTCATTATTAAAGATATTTAGTACTATAATGTTGTTATTTACATACTTTTTAAATAAACTCTGTAACTGCTTGTATAGTATTTCCAAGTCATAATCATTCTCTCCAACACATATAACCAGTTTATCATTTGGCTTAAGAAGAAGATTTTGGCAATTTCGTAGTACTTCGGTACTCGGTGCAGAGGGTTTCGTGAACACCTTTACTCTATAATTCCCATATTTCGAGTTTTGTCTAGAACGTGTTAATACTGCCGCCATGTTAGTGCATTGTTGAGTGCCAAAAATTAATATCATCAATGTCTGCTTGCTTAATATCTCTAATTTTACATGTCGAAATGGCAGTATTAGGCACGAATGCGTCTTGATTCAGAAGGCAGAGTTTTTTGTTCAGCTCTGTAATTTCTTTTTCAGCCTGATACAACTGTTCTTCTAAATGTGTTATTCTTAGCTGTAGAGAGGTTATAATGTCTACCTTAGTACCGTTACCATCGGTTTTTTTTTCAACAGTCGATTGGGAATTAGGTGTCTTGAAAGGTGAAATTCAAGAGTGCAATGAAGTTCTTCTTTCTTTATTGATGCTACGATTTAGATTTTTTTGCGGTAGCGATTGACACAAAGATTTGAGTGTATCGTTTTCTTTAGTCAATTTGTTGATCTGCCTATTAAGAGATAAGTATAAAGTTGCTAACTATGGATACGAGATGGCGCTAGTTATGCATTGACATTTTATAGGTCGAAGATTTGTCTCTATTTCAGTCATAGATTACTGTATATATACTAGTTTCAGTTTATACAAAGGTACTCTGTGGTGCATAGTATTAGTAGTACAATGCGTAGTATCCTCTTAGTAGTCTGTGGTAGTACAAAAAGTAAATACCATGAGTAATATATCGTACAGTAAATACTAAATAATAGCAACACGTAAAAATTTTATTTTACCTAGCGTTTCTGAGGATTGAAAGTGATGATAAATTTATCAAAAAATTATTAGCCTAACGGTTAGGCAGTTCCAACATGGATAATGATATAAACCTATTGGACATTCCATTGTCTTGGCTTACAAACGAATCTCGCAATTTGTTATCATATTTACTAAACACGAGAAAAATATTGCCAAGTGATACTCCAGAGAAATTGCCCAGGTAATTTAAATATTTTTTTATTATTTGGCACATCCTATTATGTTTGTTTACATCTTCCCTTGTACTCTATTGGTTGTTGTATTAAAGTCGTATTAATTTCATGGTTTGAATTTGTACTACAATACTGTAAACGGTAACAATATAAATATTGTCAGCCGTACAGCCAAAAAAAAAACAAGATTTCATATTCCTTTGTACCTCAACAAAACAAGGTTAAGTTTTCTTAAGTTTTGACTTTTGATCATTCGCCAACGTCAGCGTGAAAGTATTTATTGAGTAGAATAGTTCATCAGATACGAATACTATGCCCACGTACAAAAGAAGATTGTGATAATACAAGTATCTTATATTTCTTTAAATAACTTTTTTCCCCTTTCTTTTTTTGAATTCTAATGATTGTACTGTTGAATTGCCTAGAACAAATGACAAACACAGTTGTTATAGCTACATTAATCGATATAAATGACAATATATGGTTGTACAAACAAAAGTTTTTACAGTTTTACTATAGAATAAATCAGCACCATCTTTTAGATAATAAATAATCTCATAAATTTGTTTAATCCTATAACACTCCCTAAATTATTGTAAAAAAATATCAAAATAGCCTTATTTTTTGTGACTAAATTTCAATGTTTTAATTTTTAACCAAAAATATCATTGCACGCTTGTATATCATTTCACGATTCTAGTTCTTGAGTTTTGTGATGAAGAAGACATTCTATTTTCAAATTATAATTAACTTAGTCTCATACAAATATGAATATGTAACTATGTAAAATCTGTTATATAACTAAGTAAAATATATATTCTGAAAAACTTTTTCATTCTACACTTTTATACCTCTTTGACCGTATCCCCTTCGATAAATCTTTAAAATAAATTAGATTGGGTGTGTATAAAAAACAGGGTTACCTGAAATTCGATTTTGCCCCAAATTATCCAAAACCTGTGAACTTGAAGAAACACCTAAAGCCCTACCTACATCAGTAGATTTACCCTAAAATCTAAATCTATAAAAGTATCTAAATATCTAAAAGTTAAAACACTGCATGGACACAGTAACTACAACAATAAGTTACTCAACAATCGAGATAACCTTTAAGTAGGTCTATTATTGGACGTGGCCATGGGGCCTATTAGGCATGTCGATTCACTCTTATAAGAATCGATTTGAATCGAAGATACTAGAATCGATTATCGATTAAATCGAGGATTAAAAGATCGATTTTCATTTAATCGCGACATTTTCAAACATGAAATTTCAAGAATTTGCGATTTTTTCTTTATTTATTATTAACTAACATTACTAATATTTCTTTTAACCACTACTGGTAAGCTTGAAACGCTTGTGTTAGAAGTGGTTCACACATACGCCACTCGATCCCTTTTTTACAAAGTTAAAAATTGAATCCATGATCAATTCTATTTGATATTTTAGGCTAAAAACAACAACAATACTTTAACAAAAATGCAAACTATAACGTACATTTCTCGATAAATCTGTTTCAATCTAATAACCCACTATTTATCAAATTGAAATGTATGCTACACGAACACAATACTGGTTATTTCCTTACTATAAACTTCAACATGTAATATTTATTTACAGTATCCAGTTATTTAAAAAGTACTCTGTCTGTACTTACACCTCACAGTATGTTTTTAAATAATAAAATAAAGTAAATTCACAAGTTCACAGTTCAAACAGGTTCACAGCTATCATATAATATTGTAGTACTAGCTTGCCAGGCAGACCTGTCCCTGTCCTATTAAAAATCCTTAAATTCGCAAAAAAAATAATTGTGGGTCACACATGGGCAAAAAACTATCCTCTCAAGTTGGACCAAACTGCACACGGTGTGCAAATTTGATTGAAATCGGTTAAGTAGTTTAGGAGTCCATTGCGTAGCGTAGACAGAGAAACCAATAGACAAATTGACGCCTTCTTTCGCATTCCAATACGAAAAAGATAGATTTATGCATACGTCTTGCATAGAAATGAGACAGAGCGGTGTGATTCTTTGTCCCTTTCTCCGAGCCAGTTTTTTCGTTTACCATACTACACTTTGCTAAACAATTTTGACAGTTCGTAGCGATCTAAGGAGTTAACAAGTTGGTTTAAGTGAGAAAAAAAGTGTTTTGTAAGCTTAAGATTGGTGAATCTTGTTCAGTTCAGTTCTTAGAACAATTAAAAAAAATTATCTAACCTAAAACTATGTTATCGTCCTTTCTCACTCGAGGCAACGCTAATCATTAGTCTATAGGTTTCTCTGTCTACAATATGTCGTCTTGGTCACAGCACAGATTTAGTTAGATCAACATTCCATAGGTAAGATTAGAATTAGAATTTTAGAAATGAAAATGAAATGACAACTTTTCGATATTGTTGGATGCGTTCATAAATATTTATTTTATTCAAATATATATTGCGTTCAAATTATCAACAAAGTACGGCCGGTTGTTTTTGCGTCCCCCAACAGCAAAAAATTAAATCTTATCCCAGCCAGTTTAGGAATTTTATCGCTAGTTTTTGAATCAAATGAATCAGCCCGATTCGAGAGGTTTTTGGATCGATTCAGTGAATCGATGCGGTGCTCCGAATCGATCTAAATAATTGATTATTTTACTCCAAAGAATCGATTTTCCGATTAATCGATTTTAGATCGACATGCCTAGGGCCTATGAGGGACCTGACTAAATTTGACAAGTTATTTTAATTTAGAAATTTGTTTACAACCAAACTGATACTATTCTAAAGTGCTTATAAAATACTTATTAGTCACTCTGATTTTCCTTTATATACCTAAAGTAAGTAAGTATATTTGTTGGAGTGTTGGAGAATGTATTATAATATAATGGACACTGTATTATAGGGGACCATTAATTTAAAAAAATCAAGGAATTTATGTGAAAAAAGATTTATTTCATTTTTAACAATAATTAGTATATCAAAAGTGAAGTATAAAAAAACCTATTTATTGTAATATTTATGTTGTACAAAATTTTTATTTTAATATAAATACTTTAGAATAATACTCACTTACTTAGATGGGAGCATCGCAGTTTATATTCAGTTTTCGGATCCCCAATTTAATTTGATTAAAATCATAATCATAGAAGTGTGCTGAACAAACTTTATTCAAGTTATTTGCTTTAAAATATGGATCACCTGTTGTTTTCTTAGCAAACGGCACCATATTTTTCTTCTCTTAGGCTCCACGGGCAATCTGAGAATTTAAAATAATCATATTGATTCTTATTAAGTTGTGTATATGCATATTAACAACTATACGATTCCCTTAAATTTTACTTTTACGTTATTTTATCCCATGACTTCTTCTATCCCAAACAAATTAAACCCTGGAATTTTCAAAAATGAACTGAATTATTTTCAACCAAATGACTAAGTTCGAATTGCCTTTATTTATTTACCAGATATATTTGTTCATGGTTTCTTTTGCGCTATTAATAAAAAAAGTCGATAATCAATGCCTATAAAATTTATTCCCATGAAAGCAAATCAAAATCACTATGTGCCGACAGTACAATGTAACCTCGTGCTAAACTAAAAAGCTATGCTACTTACTAAACTACTAAGTGGACATGGCCGGTTAATCAATTGTAAACGGTAATTGAAATATTTATTAAAAATTTTAATAATATATGTAATATATAATTTTTGTAATACTTACCGAAAAAAGATATTTCATCCTTTTGTTTAGGCAATTTTTTATCGGAATTAGTACAATTTTTTACTATACAACTGGGCATTTTGCTAATGCAATGTGATGTCAGCTCGCCTTTGAAATGCAGACAACGCTGAGCTCGCGTTGGTGCTCGATAAACATTTTCGCACCAAAAAGTCGGTGCCATTTTGTTTGTTTAAGACCTGGTCCATATGCAGTAGTATAATAAGTCTATGGCTACATAAGTATGTTAGTATTGACAAACATTAAAGTTTTATGCTATTAGTGTTAATGAAATCACACAGAAAAGGAGTGTTTGTGAAGGTTAAAAGTAAGTCAAAATTTATAGGATGAGGGATGTCATGATGATCATAGAGTAAACAAAATAATTTAGGACAGTTCAAAAAAATTCGGTTCCCTCATCTAATCCACATTCACAGAGGGAGCTATCCCTGATCCTCGATTTGACTAAATGCACTTGTGCGTAAGCATGGCCAATTCTAAGTCTACAAAATAGGTAATTGATGTTGCATGTTTGTTGGCTTTATTAAATTTGAAAAACCATGGCTTTGGAGGGATGGAACATTATATGTATAGCAGCATTTGCCTTTTATATTTTTAGTAGTTTTCTATAACCTATATCAATTATTTTTAACTTCTCTTTTGTAAGTAACACTATGTCCGAAGAGTAAATTATATTGCATGGTAAACCTTTTTCAATTGAGTTTTAAGCCATCATATCAGCTGTTTCATTGCCATTTATGCCACTATGGCCTGGAATCCATGCTAAAAAATCCTGAATGCCCTAGAGATGACATCTATACAATGTGTTTAATTTGGAGGATCAGGGGAATCTTATATTTACTATGCAATTGGTTTGACAAAATCGCTAATAAACAACTTTCGGAGTGAATAAGAATTACTGTATATCATAGCTTCATCAATTGCCATGGCCTCACCAGTAAAAGTAGAAGAAATAGAAGGACCTTTAAAATTAAGAATTGTTTTGTATCTCGGAAACCATACTCCAGTATCCACTACAACTTTCATCTGAATTTTTGGAGGCAATAGTGTATATAATAAGCCAGCCTTTTCATAATTTATCTATAACTACTTACTATACTATTTGCTATAGGAGAATCTTTCTGAATACCAAGATCAATATGGATATTTAGTTTGTAAATAATTGAGTCATATGGGATATCAAAGATGGGACAGGACTTGCATTACTTGATACTGGTTATGTTAGATAGAGTAATATTACAAAATTGTTGGATAAGCAGGGAGATTCTTTATGAGTCCAGTAATGATTTGATAAAATATATTCTGAAGAAGGTGTAATTTAGAAATGAGAGGGTGGAAAGAGAGTTGGTTGATCTTAAAAAGTAATCGGTCCGAAAGGTTGTTGTTTTCTTAGCTAAAGAGGGGGGTCTACACATTCGACTTGGAGAACATTTATTGAGGAAGATTCATTGGCCCAATGATTATATGAAGTATTTTGAGGGATCAGTGTGCTTACCTGGTTCGTGATTAGGCAAGATAATTTGGGATTTCCATTCTTCAGGAGGAATACTGGTCTTGTAAATATAATTAAAAAGAAGGAAGATGGGTTTTCATAGATTTACTGCTATTAGTAATGAAAAAATAAGAAATTCCATCAATTGCTGGTGAAGTCTTTAAGGGCACTAAGAACAGTATATAACTTCTCATAAGAGAAAGGGGAGTCAAAACTGTGTTGATACTGCAAGGTCTGTGAATGAAATGCTATACATTAATTGTAAGATGGCACTGAAGGAGGGCCAAGTTTACTAGTAAAATTGATCATTAGAAGTTATATTTTCAGGGGTCTAAATTGAACATCGGTATTTTTTGTATTCCAGACTAATGATGGATGAGTCCTAGACCGCAGTGACTCACAGAATTTAAGCCACCCAGCCTTTTTTTCCCAGATAGTAATTTTAATGTTTCAGCAGCAACATTTTTATAAAAAATTTAGTTTTCAAAATTCATAGAGTGGGAATATCTTAATTCAGCCTCCTTTCTCTTCTTACATGCTATGGAACAATCTTGATCCCATCAAGGCGGTGAAGAACATTATTTTTGTAAAGGTTTGGAATCAGATAGCAGGCAAGGCAGCAGATAAAATAGCATTTTTAAAGGAAGAGTACACCTGTAGGACATTCTCTTTCTGAACAGGAGGAAAGGCTGAAAGTTTTTCCTCTAGAACTGTGGAATATATTCTAATTTGATTTGGATGTTGTACATGTTTGTTACCTGGGTTTAAATGTTCAACTGTATGAGAGCTAGTAGAATTGATAAAAATAGGGAAATAAACGCTGCCATGGGAAATAGATATTCTCCAAGAAAGAAGGGAAGACAGGGCAGGGGAACAGTCACAGATCTACTGCACTTTTAGGGTTTTTTAGTGTTTCGGAGAGAGGATACTCTACATATAGGTGAACCATCATTAAGAAGACAAAGATCTAAATCATCAATGATATCTAAAAATGTAGAGGACGAGGGATCACAAAAATGGGAGTCCCGTGAAGTATGGTGCATATTAAAATCAGAAAGAATGACCATAGGGGGGAAGAATGGAGGATATAATCCTCATGAGTTATAAGATATATGAGATATATTTAAACAAGGTTCAGGAATGTAAATAGAAAGGAAAGAAATGTTATGAGCTCTAACTGCCACAGCATTAATTGAATAACCATGAAAAGGAAGGGAAATTGTATAAGTAACTGATTTTGCTATAAGAATGAAAGAGCCAGCATGACCATCATTCAGGCATGAATAAGCTGAGACCCTAAAATGCGACCCAGGCTTTAGCCAAGTCTCTTTGATGGCTAGGATGAGGGGATGGTATTTTTTTACAATTGCCATTAAAGTCAAAATGACTGGTTAATGTTATTACACTATGTTATTACACACTGATAAATAAGATAATAAAAAGAAAATATGCTTTAAACTGTTGTAAGGATAATAAAAACACATGTATAATGTAATTGTATGTATTGTTGTTAATCATCACCAAATGTAAGAAATACCTTTTGACAGTTGTCACATTATTGAACTAGGCCTAGGCATTATAACTGAAAAATTGGTACCTACAATATTCAATTCTTAAGTGAAATTAATAGCAAATCTATACAATGTAAAGCGAAGTTAATTCTGGTTAATTTTTTTATATTTTGCTTTGTTTTGAATAATATGAATTTAAATTAGTGATAACGAACCATACATGTAATGAAATATAGATAACTTCTTAATTTTTTGGATTTACATAAAAGGTTATTTTATATCATGTGAGTGTGCTTGTACAAAATTATTGCGGTATGATTAATGTGGAATGTCAAAAGTTTTTTCTTAGACTTGGTGGAGTATAATTTCAACTAATTTTTTCAGAGATTGGCGAGGACTTGCATCTTTAGTGAACATATCAGCAGAAATAGCAGCCAGTATCAATGACTACCCTGATAAAACTGCCAAAGTCTTAGAAATATGGACAAAACTAAATCAAAACACTGCCAAAGTTGGTTACCTCATGCAGTTCCTTCAATATTTGGACAGATATGACATATTTGATGACTTGATTGAACTTTATAGACAAGGAAGGCTAATAGGTAAGGAAACATTTGGTCTTAAGGTATAGACAGTCAGTATAAGTACAGGGTGTGGGGCATTTTTTTTTAAAGAAATTAGCAATGCTGTAAACATTACAAATTTCCCCTTAACCACTCGTGGTAAGCTTAAATTGCTTGTGTTACGAGTGGTTCACGCCAGTAGTCGAATGACGGATTCGAACCCACGACCTTTCTGAGTTCGCGGTCCGCGCCCTGCCATTAGGTTACTGTCGCTTACATTACATCATGGTACTCAGAGGTGGCAGCGCATCATTGGCCGTGTTCGTGGGCTGCAGTAGCCACTTGCTATCAGGTGAACTCTAAGTACGTTTGTGATTACATCAGGCTACTGTCACTTACATTACATCATGGTACTCAGAGGTGGCAGCGCATCATTGGCCGTGTTCGTGGGCTGCAGTAGCCACTTGCTATCAGGTGGACTCTAAGTACGTTTGTGATTACATCAGGCTACTGTCACTTACATTACATCATGGTACTCAGAGGTGGCAGCGCATCATTGGCCGTGTTCATGGGCTGCAGTAGCCACTTGCTATCAGGTGGACTCTAAGTACGTTTGTGATTACATCAGGCTACTGTCACTTACATTACATCATGGTACTCAGAGGTGGCAGCGCATCATTGGCCGTGTTCATGGGCTGCAGTAGCCACTTGCTATCAGGTGGACTCTAAGTACGTTTGTGATTACATCAGGCTACTGTCACTTACATTACATCATGGTACTCAGAGGTGGCAGCGCATCATTGGCCGTGTTCATGGGCTGCAGTAGCCACTTGCTATCAGGTGGACTCTAAGTACGTTTGTGATTACATTAGGCTACTGTCGCTTACATTACATCATGGTACTCAGAGGTGGCAGCGCATCATTGGCCGTGTTCATGGGCTGCAGTAGCCACTTGCTATCAGGTGGACTCTAAGTACGTTTGTGATTACATTAGGCTACTGTCGCTTACATTACATCATGGTACTCAGAGGTGGCAGCGCATCATTGGCCGTGTTCATGGGCTGCAGTAGCCACTTGCTATCAGGTGGACTCTAAGTACGTTTGTGATTACATCAGGCTACTGTCACTTACATTACATCATGGTACTCAGAGGTGGCAGCGCATCATTGGCCGTGTTCATGGGCTGCAGTAGCCACTTGCTATCAGGTGGACTCTAAGTACGTTTGTGATTACATTAGGCTACTGTCGCTTACATTACATCATGGTACTCAGAGGTGGCAGCGCATCATTGGCCGTGTTCATGGGCTGCAGTAGCCACTTGCTATCAGGTGGACTCTAAGTACGTTTGTGATTACATCAGGCTACTGTCACTTACATTACATCATGGTACTCAGAGGTGGCAGCGCATCATTGGCCGTGTTCGTGGGCTGCAGTAGCCACTTGCTATCAGGTGGACTCTAAGTACGTTTGTGATTACATCAGGCTACTGTCACTTACATTACATCATGGTACTCAGAGGTGGCAGCGCATCATTGGCCGTGTTCATGGGCTGCAGTAGCCACTTGCTATCAGGTGGACTCTAAGTACGTTTGTGATTACATCAGGCTACTGTCACTTACATTACATCATGGTACTCAGAGGTGGCAGCGCATCATTGGCCGTGTTCATGGGCTGCAGTAGCCACTTGCTATCAGGTGGACTCTAAGTACGTTTGTGATTACATCAGGCTACTGTCACTTACATTACATCATGGTACTCAGAGGTGGCAGCGCATCATTGGCCGTGTTCATGGGCTGCAGTAGCCACTTGCTATCAGGTGGACTCTAAGTACGTTTGTGATTACATCAGGCTACTGTCACTTACATTACATCATGGTACTCAGAGGTGGCAGCGCATCATTGGCCGTGTTCATGGGCTGCAGTAGCCACTTGCTATCAGGTGGACTCTAAGTACGTTTGTGATTACATCAGGCTACTGTCACTTACATTACATCATGGTACTCAGAGGTGGCAGCGCATCATTGGCCGTGTTCATGGGCTGCAGTAGCCACTTGCTATCAGGTGGACTCTAAGTACGTTTGTGATTACATCAGGCTACTGTCACTTACATTACATCATGGTACTCAGAGGTGGCAGCGCATCATTGGCCGTGTTCGTGGGCTGCAGTAGCCACTTGCTATCAGGTGGACTCTAAGTACGTTTGTGATTACATCAGGCTACTGTCACTTACATTACATCATGGTACTCAGAGGTGGCAGCGCATCATTGGCCGTGTTCGTGGGCTGCAGTAGCCACTTGCTATCAGGTGGACTCTAAGTACGTTTGTGATTACATCAGGCTACTGTCACTTACATTACATCATGGTACTCAGAGGTGGCAGCGCATCATTGGCCGTGTTCATGGGCTGCAGTAGCCACTTGCTATCAGGTGGACTCTAAGTACGTTTGTGATTACATCAGGCTACTGTCACTTACATTACATCATGGTACTCAGAGGTGGCAGCGCATCATTGGCCGTGTTCGTGGGCTGCAGTAGCCACTTGCTATCAGGTGGACTCTAAGTACGTTTGTGATTACATCAGGCTACTGTCACTTACATTACATCATGGTACTCAGAGGTGGCAGCGCATCATTGGCCGTGTTCGTGGGCTGCAGTAGCCACTTGCTATCAGGTGGACTCTAAGTACGTTTGTGATTACATCAGGCTACTGTCACTTACATTACATCATGGTACTCAGAGGTGGCAGCGCATCATTGGCCGTGTTCGTGGGCTGCAGTAGCCACTTGCTATCAGGTGGACTCTAAGTACGTTTGTGATTACATCAGGCTACTGTCACTTACATTACATCATGGTACTCAGAGGTGGCAGCGCATCATTGGCCGTGTTCGTGGGCTGCAGTAGCCACTTGCTATCAGGTGGACTCTAAGTACGTTTGTGATTACATCAGGCTACTGTCACTTACATTACATCATGGTACTCAGAGGTGGCAGCGCATCATTGGCCGTGTTCGTGGGCTGCAGTAGCCACTTGCTATCAGGTGGACTCTAAGTACGTTTGTGATTACATCAGGCTACTGTCACTTACATTACATCATGGTACTCAGAGGTGGCAGCGCATCATTGGCCGTGTTCATGGGCTGCAGTAGCCACTTGCTATCAGGTGGACTCTAAGTACGTTTGTGATTACAATTTTGTGACAAAAAAATTGACTGTGTTTGTGCACTCACTCTTTTTCAGTTTGTTTCAGTATTTGTGAGAATACCGTTTGAAATAGCCTATAGTGTATGGTTAATTGTACACTGTGTTATTTTCAATCAATATTTCATTTATGTACATTTATGAGTTATTCACATATAAATGGAGCGTTTATCATAAACAATGGTAGCTGAATCTCAATAAATGCATAATAATTTGTCATCATAGTGTTTGTGCACTCACTCTTTTTCAGTTTGTTTTAGTATTTGTGAGAATACCGTTTGAAATAGCCTATAGTGTATGGTAAATTGTACACTGTGTTATTTTCAATCAATATTTGATTTATCTACATTTATGAGTTATTCACATATGAATAGAGTGTTTATCATAAACAATGATAGCTGAATCTCAATAATTGCATTATCATTTGTCATAATCATCATCATCATTACATCTCTTCACAATTCCACTGCTGAACATAGGCCTCCCCCAGGGAATGCCACAAAGCACGGTCCTGAGCCACCTGCATCCATCGACTTCCTGCAGTAAGAGCTACCAGGTCGTCACTCCATCTAGTGGGGGGTCGCTCTACACTTCGCCTACTGGTACGAGGCTGCCACTCAAAAACCTTTTTCCCCATCGGTTGTCAGTTCTTCAAGCTATATGTCTTAATGCATATTTGTGAATTTCCAATTTACTTTCATGACACTCTTAAAACGTGAATATGATTCAAATTCTAGTGTGAAAAAGCAAATTGATTTTTTAATTTAATCTTTAATACTTGTTCTAAGGCAGTGGTAGCTCAGGACCTTAGTAGCTTAGTCAAAGTAAATTTTGTAGTATGTGTGCAATCAGGGTTTGATCCCCACTGGCATAAATGACTTTTATTTGGCAAAAATCAACTTTAGCCTATAACACCTCATAGCCTGGTATTGTACTGGCACTTTTTAAAATCAAACACGATAATGTTGTCAATGACAAAATTACGCAAAAGGCTATGTATTTATTTATAAATTTTGTTCCAATCCGATTTTCGGTCCGGCGACCGACTTAAAGGAAACTAGCCATCTGCGCAAGACATGGTTGTGGTGTGATAGTGTGTACGCAAGCATGTGTCAGTTACATCAAACTTCAATCTGATTCGACCAGAGAAAGATTAGGCGCAGGACTACTTTACGTACTTTCCGAGGAATGGGGTAAAACACCGCCAAGTTCTTCCTAGGGTGAATTTCATGACGAATTTTCATGTGATGCATTTTTTCACATGATCAGTTTACGATAACTAGACCAACGAGGTCAAATTTGCGAGGTTACGTTATTGTGTGGTTACAAAAAGTTTGAGTGGGTCTATTTTTTCTAGCAAGGCCAAATGAAAATCACGGAAGCCCATCTTTAGAGGCTCCAGAGGATGATAGACTTATCACTTATGATGACAAGTTGAGTGGTGAACCACAATTTTATCATGCCTACGTACTTTACGCACGGGAGGATAAAGAGTTTGTGGATGAACTATTAAGGCGGATGAGAGCGGATGGCTTAAAGGTATTTTAAGTATATTTTTAGGAGTACTGGTACCCAAAAATTTTGAGAAAAGAATTTGCCAATCATTGTTTTTTTTAATATTTTACAAATGCATAAACCAATTTAAAATACTATTCCTACAATGTTAGGTAAATATATGCCAAATTGAGCTGAATTGAACACTCGGTATTATCCCGATTTTTGTTTTATGAAGCTATAAATGAATTTTTTTTTCAGTTTTGATGAAAATATTTCGTCATTCAGAGATTTTAACTTTGTCTTTTTTGGGGTTGAGTTTTCACTTGGGGTTTTTTTTATTCTGGGAACTTTGCAGACAAATGTAGCATGGCGATCATAGTAATTTGAACCCGCACCTTTGGCACAGTTCCCCGTTACTGGTCTATCTATTTTACATCATGTCTTAAATAAGAAAGTATGTCTCCATTCTGGAAGACACGAGGTCTTTTTGGGCGTTATAAAGTTAATGGTTATAAATGACTGTTTTGAATTTCCTCACTTTAGTACATAGATATTTGCAGCCAACTTTAAATAAAGAAAGCTCTCACCTCTGAGGACCAAGATGGAATGCCTTACAGTCTAATTATATATACTAACTTTCTGTACCCTTCAGACCGAAAACAGCTATTAGGCAAAAATAAGAAAGAGACTACCTAGAAAGTTTTCATATCCTTGACTAAAATTGCATGGAAATATGAGTAGCACCCTTGATGAATGTAAATGGAACTGTTTTGCTAAACATAATCTCTCAATGGTGATACTAATTGGAATTAGAAAACTCATGCTTAGGGGATAGTTTTTTTCAGACTCCTATTGTATTTCTTTTAAAAAAAATTGACTATTGCCCCCTTACTAGGGCATTCTCAAGTATCGTGGAGGTGTTTTATGAATATAACGAAACAAACATCCAAACCCAAAACAAATTTTTATAGACTATCCAAATATTTGTTCTATGCTTGAATCAAATCCGCAACCAAATTCTTCAGAGCCGTCTATTGGTATTTAACCTGTCAACTCCCTAGCGCTCTCATGAGGTCGCACTAACCTCGGCACTTTAACTCATAAAAACTTATATATAGAGACTACTTTTCTATTATTTATATAATCAATATAAAATACTACTCCTCTAGTGCAATAAAAAAACTGTTATCCTATGAATATTTATTTATAATCTACGTTCATTGTAAACGCCGTTTTCGCGTAAATGTAATTGTGTTGTTTTTTTGAATTTTTCTTGTGTTTTATTATAAAATTGTAATGAAAGTTTTTGTGTGAATATAATTTATCTTTTTACGTAAATAATTTCGAGTAATATATATTGAAATAATTGTGATTTTCACGCTGCCGACATTCGCTTGGTATGTTTTTTTTTGTTATCAAAATACAATAAAATCTTTTTGTAATGAAGTAAAACTTGAATTTTGTTTAGACCACAGGATAGAGAATTTTGTATAGATTATATAATGCTAAACTTCTTCATAGAAAAGTAGTCTCTAAATATAAGTTTTAATGGTTTTGTTTTAAGTGCTGTGGGTGGGTGCGGTCGCATGCGATCGCTCAGGATTTGCCTGGCGCATGTGACTGCATGGGATTTTTATGGCGCTTGAAGGGTTAAACTGTGGTTTTATGTGTTATTAGATCCTACTGCAATTAATGGCATGCAGTAGCGATATAACAGAATCCACTACTATGGTTCCTGGTTGGGTTGGGTCCTGTGGTTGTTGTAAGAGATGATAGAGGAAAATGAAGCAGAAACTGGGCTGCAGCATCTTCTTATAACAATTTAAAAAAATTACAAACTATGGCTGCTATCCTGCCTGCAAAGCATAGCAATATGGCAAAATCACTCTTCAATCAATTGGAAGAATTTTTTCTATCAATGTTTAGCGGTCGAATTTTTAATCTGGATGGACATCTAGAATCCAATCCAATCCATCCAATTTGTAAGTAAAACTTACAAATTTATTAATTCAAAAGCATTGAAGGAGAGTAAATTTCTCAGAAATTTCATGCAATAATGACATATTAAAAGCTGTGTTATATTTCATTACAGTTATGTACAGAAGATGATTTGCTACCGGGTCATGCAACACAGTACGCCCCGGTATCCCGGCTCATATCCGAGCGATGCCAGAGGATTATCCTGGTGTATTCTCCCGAGTTCCTAAATAGTCCTGCTAATAGTTTTTACACAGACTATGCACAAGCTGTAGGCATAGGTAAGAGTTTTTTCCTATTCTCAATAATAATTGTTTAAATAAATAAAAAATAAAAGTAAAAGAAGTCCTTATCATGGGATGATGATGATGGGATGGATGTCGCATGAGGCGACAGAGGGAACAAATCTGGAGATGGGCAGCAGCGTCTTCCTAATAACCGTGGTTGCCAACCCGCTTGCCAAGCGTGCCACTTAATAGTAAATAGGCAGGCCTATGTTCGGTAGCCCCTCAACAGTAAACAATATCTTTCTAAATGGCGTCATTTCTAATATGTCGCCACTGAAATGGCTTGCATTTACTGCCCGGTAGAAATAATTTACCTAACTTCGTGTTTTCTTTAAATTTAAGGGTATAATGGTTTATACAATAAAATATAATAAACATGTTTTCTCATCTAAATTTATATATTATAACATTAGTGCTAAATATAATAGTAAATTAGTATTTAAAAAAATGGCAGGAATTGAATCGCCGCAGTGGATGACAGTTACTGACAATAGATATTTGACACATTGCCGGGATGGATGTTTTGACTGTTAAACAGTAATGGTAATGGTAAAAGGGATCTTTTCACTGACTACCCTTTGTCCAAATCCAAGAGACCGGGAATCAATCAAAATATTGGAAAGCGAATGTTTATCTGGAAGAGCCATACTGCAGCTATGTTACTGGTATAGTTGTAGCATAAATGGGTCGGCCCGACCGGAGAAGGACCGCGCTCTCACAGAATACCAGCGTCAAATAGCAGCTTAACGCTCCTGTCTTTTGTTTGGTGAATGTAGAGAAATGGAGATTCTTTTTAATGGATACAAAGCATTCTATCTCAGTCCTCAGGGGTGACAACGCATCTCTACTTTCGTTCTTATTTCAGGATATTTATGTGGATGGGGGTGGGGCACAGTATCCACTTACTATCAGGTCAAAAAAATATTGACTGAAACTAACTTTTAATTAACCTAATGCCGTATGTCGTAGCCATTCTGGGTTTCTGCACCAGCCTACTTCATACAAAGCAGATTACATACATATTGTCACCTCTAACTAATCTATCCTGATTATTCAAATATATATATATATATATATAAACATATATATATACATAATTAACGCACTTTGAGAAAGTAGTTTGTTTAGAATCGTTTACTGAATCGATACCTATCATTTTTAGTATAGGTAATTTTTTATCCCAAAAATAATTAAAACTACGTAAATTACAGTCACACTAAATCTGTACAGACAAAACGAACTGAAATGGACCGTAACTTAAGGAAATAAGACTTTTAAGAGTGCAGTTTTATTTGTTTATTACTAATAATAATGTTAATTACTAATTCTGTCATTAAATAAAAATAAAGAAAAATTAACTTTATTTCAAGCACGTTAAAGTCTTTGCGTTCGTGGATTTGTAACTGTGACCACAACATTCTTCCGGAATTAGTATAACTAATTTGATAAATAATCAGTGTATTAAAATGTTTAACTAAAAATTCAGTGTATGTATTATGATTATAACATAATATAATAATTGGGGTGTCTGAGGATGTGCGTTAATTACGTTACATATTGTATATATCTATATATATATATATATATATATATATATATATATATATATATATATAATAGTGCACTGAGGGATTTCTTCTTTCTTGTTTTTCTTCCTATTAGCTCCATATTTATTCCCGCGGCTGGGGTCGCGCGGGCATCTAGTCTCCACACGAACTCGCTGGGTCCGCCACGCGCTGATTGGCTGCGCGGTTTGTCGCTCTTCTTTCTAGTGCGGGGTACGGGGGACGTGTTGCGATGCGATGTGAGGTGCGCGGGGTGGTGGGGCGCCGGCTCCCTTCGCCATCCGTAACACTCTTTTATAAAGAAAATTTTACACAACTCATTGTTCTTTATTAACTTTACAGAGAAGAAACAGTTGAAGATTATTCCACTTATGTACCGTGACTGTCAATTGCCCATGCAGCTAACTTATTACCACAAGCTATACTACAGTCCCCCTGGTCACAAAGCGCCCTATGACTTTTGGCAGAAGCTGAGCCATTCCCTCCAGCTAACCAATCTACCCAGGTATGTCAACAATATTATGAACTTTATTAATAAAACTATACAACATGTTAAAACCTGTGATTCCCGTTGATTGCGTTATTAGAATCAATATTCAAATGTACAGAAATAATTTTTTTTTAGAAAATTCTACTTAAAATAATTTATTTAATTAAAAGGTTTTGGGTTTCAGGTTTAAGATAACATAAAGTAATAATTTTGTCTTCTTCCGGATATTGATCAAAAGCCTTTTTTATAGAATGTGACAAATGAGCACACAGTCCACCTAATGGTAAGTGGATGCCGTGGCCCATAGACATCTACATTTATCTTCAATTAAGAATCAGAATGCAGAGAGAGAGAGAGAGAGAGAAAGAGAGATAGAGAGATCTAAAATGGAATGCCTCGTTTCCAGTAAAAAGGGTCTCTGGATCTCTACACTCATCATACGAAACACAGCAGCATTAAGCTGCTATTTTACGCTGGTATTCTGTGAGAGCGTGGTCCTGCCCCGGTCGAGCGACTCATTCGTGCTGCAATCACAATATAGCTGCAGCATGGCTTTACCACGTAAATATAGCCTAGGGTTTTGATCAAAAACCTAATTTTACTATAAACCTGCGACATACATAACATTAGAAAACTTTATATTTCTACTATTTTCAGGTTAAACAGCACAAGCTCAAGCCATTCTACATTCAATATATCAGAAGTATCATCAAATAGTATGTTTGAATCGAGACAAAATTTAAATGGCTACACTACGAACAAACCCCCATATTTAGAGTTACCAAGCATACCAACTACGAAGAGTATCTCTATGTCTGAACTTGATAGTTGCGAAATTAAAAAAATACCACTCGACGACAGTAAATCATTAAGCAACGTGAGTCAAATAAGCACAGGTAAACAGAAGAAACCAAGCAAAATTAGGACTTTCATCAACACATTAACAAAAAAGAAACCTAAAAAACCAATTATGGTTAAAGCATAAAACCGAAGGATCAGATTCAGGTGGCAAATGAAATTGAGCTCACTGTTCATATAGAGCCAGTGATTTTCAGGGTTTAATCGGTAAGGTGCTGTCTCTTTTGTGTACCGTTAATAGTAACACGAGGTAAATCATTTGTGCTTTTGATATCATAAACTAAATATACTGCCAGGGCTTATAAATGTTACCAGTTTACATTCAAAAATATCGGAAATTAACATTACTTTAAACAACAGGCCTTTATGAGCATTTCTCAAATATTTTGACCAGAGTCTTAAAATTCGTCTAAAATTAAAATCTGTATATTAAGGATATATGATTCTAAATATAATTAGCTAAACTTATTCAGATTCCAAATTTCTGTTTGTTTTTTGTTTTAATTAGGTTTTTTATACAAAAACCCCGTAAAATGTTAGCTGGGGGCATAACAAAAGTTCTTATTTTGTTACTTGGAGTTGTGTGAATATCTTAAAATAATACACGATTTTTATGTGAATTTATATTTTACTGTATAGATCATAAATCAAACAAAATCTTGACAAAAGAAAAACTGTGAAAACAAACAAAGTAAATTGTTTTTTAGCAATACTACTAATTTTTGTTACTAACACTTTCTAGTAATAAAGTTTCATTTTCTCGAATAAAAAAAGAAGGTTACAGACCGTGCCACGAAAGATGAGACTTGGCGAGCGTCAGTAGTGGGGAGCTTGCGCAGGTACTGTCGTGTACGAAATATTATCCATAATTTGTATATCTATTCAGGGATTTTTCGACGACATTTGAAATTAACACAACGTAACAAAATTCTATAGAAAAATAATTTTATTACGTGTTAAATAATAAATTTAAAGATAAAAATGGCTGATTATCCTAGTCACTGTCACTGTCAATAAATGATACACCAGCGGGAAGATATCTTTTAACGGCTGCAACCAGGTACATTAACTCTAGAAAATACACTACTTGTTCCAGGAGTTAAGAATTTTCAGATGACGATGAGGAACTACCTGAGTCCCCTGAGTCGCTGTCTGGCGAATCTTCTCCTAGTCTGATAATTATCTCCGTATCCGTCAAATTGTCTATTATGTGATCACTTTCTATGTAAAAGTCTTCAATTTTTTTTGTTTTATCACATAGAGCTTTCCATTCATTTGGTCCCATTTGGCTTGCCTTTTCTGTTACTAACTCTATCACACGTTTGAGGTTCCATTGCACATTCTTACTACTCACATAACCTTTTATTGAAGCCCAAGCCATTTCGATTGGATTTAAATCTGGATGGTATGGAGGTAATAGCAGTACGTCATGACCGTGTTCAGATAGTATTTTGTCAATGCTGAATGTCTTATATTGTTCTTTATGTATTTTTATCAATTTGTACAATTGTGGTTTAAGCATATCTGGAGTGTAGGGAATTCCTTTTTGGGTTAGCCAAGATTGCATATCAGCTTTCTTGGTATTTGAGCTTGGTGCAGATTCATACTCCTTATTATGATACGGGGCTTTATCAACTACCACGACGGCATTTGGTGGAAGATTGGATATTAGCTGGGTTCGAAGCCATTTCTGATAATTTTCGTAATTCATGTCGTCGTGGTAATCACCCGTTTTTGACCCCGATTTAAAAGTCAGTAAAGCGTTTGGTATGAAACCACTTTCAGATCCAGCATGTACAATAACTACGCGCTGACCTTTAGATATTGGTTTTTTGAGCCCTTTATCTGAATTATCAGACCAAGATTTGGAGGTACTATGCGTGGAATGCACGTAAGACTCGTCAGTATATACAATAGGACGGCCTTCTTGGCGATATTTTCTGACTTTTTTTAAATATTCAATTCTTTTCAGTCTGATATTGGATTTTTCTATAAGAATTTTTCGATTATTTTCGGTCCTCCTCCATCGAAAACCAAGGTCTTTCAAAATGCGGCGTAGACTTGTTTTAGAACCTCGAAAGGCAATATCATCACGCAACTTTGCTAAAATTTTATTAAGGGTCGGCAGTTCCTTGTTCGTAACATGGAAGTTGTGAACACATCTTTTTATCACTCCTTTGTCAAAGTCATCTATGTCGGTTAAAAGTTTGGGTCTTGGCCTTTTTTTCCGGGAGTGCGGAAAATTGGTAGTAACTCGGAACTGTTTCCTTCCTTCACAATTCTTTTTACTGTAATTAATGATGTTCTAGTTGCGGCCGCTGTACGCATTTGTACCTGCTTCAAATTTTGTACACCTTCCTTTGCTTCTTTTGACATATAGGTGTACACGTCGTAAACCATCTTCCTACTTTGTCGTCTTAATGTTTTACCTCGAGGCATAATCAAGATTTCACAAAGTTTCACTCGTATAGAACAACGCAACTATAAACAAAGTAGAAATTTATAAACACAAGTTGCACTTGTCTACTTGCGGAGTCAAGCGGTAAGTGCACGGGGCGCGGAGAGCGGGAAGCAACTAATATGAATGAGCGGCGCCGATGACGCCCGGTCCCTTCCCGCCTCAGAAATCATACCGCTAAAGAGACCGATAAATCGACTAATGCGCAAATCAAACCACGTGATGTGTCAAGTCTCATCTTTCGTGGCACGGTTTGTACCATTATTCATATTTATTAAAAAAAAATATCTTTCATTAATCTTTTAATCAAGTGCTTTTTGTGTTTAAATTTGAAGAAAAAAAGAAGTTATAGAGTGTAATTATTAGCACTATTTTGGGACAGTAACAAAAAAAGAAGTGTTGGTAACATAATCGGAAATATAAGGCCTAGCACACACACTTGACTCACTCACATCGTAAAATGGAAACAAAAGTAAGTATTAAATATCAACACAAAATAAAAGATTTATTATTTATACTTCCAAAATAATAAAAACGAAACATTCATTTAAATTGCTTTAAGCATATAAAAACTTATTAATTAATAACAATCAGTAATATTTTTTGGTGGTGACGTACATTTTCACTTTTTTTCATACACCGCTCTTACGTGACATTATTACACATTTTTCATTGGATCTTTTGAAAACACATATCTTTTGAATATTATCTAGGGTTCTATTGTAATAAATTAATTTTGCGTAAAATGAATCCATTAAAGACCTCTGAAAATCTGCTATTTTACGTGAACTTTGACTCTTCTTAATGTACTTACTCATAAATCAAAAAATATAACAATCAATATGGTAAAAAAACTTATTTTTAAATCTCACGTACACTTAAAATTGTTCCAATATTTATAATTAATCAGTCAAGAAACAACACATATGAAAAAATTACTACAATAAACAGCCTAAGCAAGTCCCTACTAATGGAATCGAATCACGTAGTACTTAACCGCATCACAGACATAGCTATAACATAATATAAGGTATTATATATATTAATATAAGACAAGCTACTTATTTTCAATGCAGATTTTATTGGAATATGAATTAATATAAATAAATTATAGCTGTGTCTGTGACGCGCTGTAGTCGAGACTTTTAGTCTTTTCTTAGTCTGAAATATTGATATTACAATGACATCGTAAAATGTATTTTTATTATTAGAGTAAGGTTTTAAAAAAAATCAAACATTACAAAACACGCACTCATCTTCAGTGTAGTGGTCGTAAACACTGAAATTTTTGCATACCCTACACCAAAAGAAATTATTTTCTAGTAACAGTGTCATCTGTTCAAGATTCATCGTTGCTACAAAATGAGGAAGAACTATATGCAATATATTATTCGTTGTACTTCCACAACCAAAACATTTATCTGACAATACGAAATGGGTGGAAGACCAGGGCCAAGCCATATTATATGTGATACAAGTAAAAAAGTCGGTTTTATTCAGAAACTTATCAATATCAAAGTAAATGACCATTTCTGAAACGACCCGTTGCGGTTTTATACCTGTGAAATTAAAAAATAAATCTTTTAAAACTACTGCTTAGCTATTGGTGCAGCGTTTAATTGCATCGGTTCATGATGTAAGCAGCGCGATGCGATGGTACAATGCGACGTGACGCGGGGAAGCTACTTCTCAGTTTTAGGAGGGTGGAACGCGACAATGCTGTTTTATCAAACGTCATGTCTTCTCGCACCCCGCACACCTACATAAGGATCCGACTCAGTTTAGCGGTACAATATCAATTTAATAACCTTCAAAACAAAAATCACATATGTAATCGAAATAGGCTTGTCCTTGTGCGCACTTATCGCAATAATATTTTTTGCAAGACATACATTTTATTAAATAATGCAATGATGTGGGATTTTTGCACTTATTGCAAGCCATTTGTCTTGTCACAGGAATCAGTAATGATTTTTTTGCTGGACTATGAGTATACATATTAGGTTTTGATTTTTTAAATGGATCACGATTAACTTTAGACGTTGCAGAATACGGATCTTTAGACGTTGAAGGATACGAATCTTTAGACGTTGATGGATACGGATCTTTTGACGTTGAAGGATACGGATCTTTTGACGTTGAAGGATACGGATCTTTTGACGTTGAAAGATACGGATTTATTAAATTCAATGAAATATTAGGTGGAATGTGGATTCGAATCAGTATCACTCAGGTTTATAAGAAAATCAACGCGATTTACAGCGGAACTATTTTCGATAGCCTCGTTTTCTTCTAGATCTACATTATCAATACACAATATTGGCAAATCATCTATCATCTCAGTGTCAAGAATTGGTAACTCGTTTAACTTTGAAAATAATGCTTGGTTATCTGTAGAGTCATTATTGTTATATTTCTGGTTAAAATGTGGAAAATTTGGGTATTTATGTGTTTCTGGATCATAACAACAACAGGTTTTCTTATTACAAAATCAGCTGAGGATGCGATGTTGAATTTCATCATTTCCATGTAGAGAAATCACTTCATGAATACTCATAGTTCCTTTTATAGTTTTTTGGCCAGCCGGTATAATTTCACTTATCCCGTTGATTTCGGTTTCATATATTTAAAATACTTTTACAGCTGTAACAAAAGATTCCAACGTCAAGTACACATCAGTAGCGTTTATAATATTTTTTCCATAGGCGATTTGCCTATCAAGAGCCCTCTTAACAACCCCTCCAATAGCATCAGCCACACCCTTATGCCGGGTTGACACGATAACAGTCAGCTCGGACCGAGTCACGTCAGAGTACACTCATACGAGTCAGCGTCATACGAGTGTACTCCTATAGTGGTTTACACGATCATAGTGTACTCTTATCGAAGTTAATTAAATTTTGTGTCAACTCACGGAACACACTGATCTTCTCAACATGGAACAGACTGATCTGCTGTTACAAGGTGTCGCAGTTGTTGCAGATATACTAATAAAAGAGTTGAACCATATAAGCAAAGAAACAAGCAATGTAAGAAGAAAGAAGGAACGCAAGAAGAGATCGATTTGGACCCGCGAATGGATATTAAGGCTTGAAAAGCTGGGAGCATCAGATAATTTTCTCCAAGAAGTACGCATGGAAGACAAGGCCACTTACAAGAATCATTTGAGGCTGAACGGTGAACAATTTGACTATCTGTTACAAAAAGTAACGTCAAAAATACAGAGAGCTGATACAGTCATGAGAGCTGCTCTACCTGTCAAAATAAAGCTACAAATAGCTATGCACTATTTTGCAACTGGAGATAGTTTTCCAAGCAAGTTCCAAAGAGCACCATATCCAAGTTTCTGCCAGAAGTGCTAGATGCAATATATGAAGGGTTGGAGGAGTACATAAAGGTCAGTAACAAGAAATCATAGTGAAATTTTTATTTAATATCAAGCTACCTACAGTTAAAGTAATCTTAATTATTGTTTAGCAAAATAGCGATAATTCTCATTATTTTGAATCCCACCAGTGCTTCGAATTGCTTTTTGTAATTGATCATCTACTACAAATTCTGGTGATGTTTCTTGGCTTGTTGCATCACGTTGGATCTAAACTTCTATGCCTTCCTCTTGTAATGCATCATTTACTACAACAAGTTGTGATGATTCTTGTCTTGTTGCGTCACGTTGAATATGAATCTGAGATTCAAGATTATTGAATAAATGTTCTGGTATTTCAAATGTATATTCATTCGATGTCGCAGAATTGTTTTCCAATTGCATTCGATTTATACTTTTCCGTTTTACTATTTCTATTATTTCAGACAGAACATCTAGAGCATCTATTAGGAGCAATTGTCGGAGCTGGCTGGCGATATTTTTGGCGAAAAGGGAGAATTCATCTTCTATTTCTTTATGACACAGTACTTGGTCCTTGATACTATTAAGTGTTTCAATAGACTTCTCGATATGTTGAGGTACTAATGGTCGTTTAAGTGGTCGCTTCTTCTTGATAGTATTTTGTGGCTTAACGAATATTTCACTATTTAACTGCTGGGAAGATGATGGCGTTTGAAGATCTGCCGGTGGCGGAAGAGGTCCTGGTATGTCCGATGAAGGTTCGGCGAGAATATCTGGTGAAGGGGCGATGGGAATGTCTGGTGAAGGGGCGATTGGAATGTCTGGTGAAGGTGCGGGTGGAATGTCTGGTGAAGGTGCGGCTGGAATGTCTGGTGAAGGTGCGGCTGGAACGTCTGGATCTGAAGAGCTGTTATCTGAATTCTCCTGTAACAAAACAATAATAGAAAATTAAAAATATACCTTGTTTTTTTTTCAGATCCCAAAGACAACTGAAGAATGGACAAATATTTCGAGTGTTTGATAACCGTTGGAATTTTCCTGGATGTTGTGGAGCCTTAGATGGCAAGCACGTCAATATACAACACCAATCAACAGTGGAAGTGACTTTTTTTAATTATAAAGGTTACTTTAGTACTGTACTTTTGGCTCTGGTAGACGGCAACTACTGTTTTACATATATTGATGTGGGCAGCCAGGGTAGATTAAACGATGCTTCAATATTCAGTAATTCAATACTTAAAGAGAAATTGGAAGATGGGACTCTGAATTTTCCTTCTTGGGGTGTAATTTTAGGAGACGAAGCTTTTCCACTGAAACAGTATTTGATGAAACCATATTCTCGAAGATTAACATTGACAGCCGAAGAGAAAACTTTTAACTACCGTCTTTCTCGTGCCAGAAGAATAGTAGAAAATGCATTTGGCATTATGGTGTCAAAATTTAGAATATACCGGACTCCAATATATTTGTGTCCAGACAAAGTTGACAAAATTGTCAAAGCAACTTGTGCACTTCACAACTGGCTCATGAAGACAGCCATGCACTATTATGCACCAGTGGGAACAATGGACACAGATGACAGACCTGGTTCGTGGAGACAGGAACCTAGTTCAAATTATATTGCACATGTTGTGAATCAAGGTAGTAATCACCCATCTCGGTTGGCAGAGTAAAGAAGAATAAATTATAAAAATTATTTCATTGGAGAAGGCTCCGTCCCATGGCAAAGTAGCAGAATATTTTAAGAATATCTGTGTATATTTTAACATGAAATTATAAAACAGCTAATAAATTAAATACAAATGTTTATTGTTTTATTATAATAAATAAACTTACCACATTCTGATAAGTTTTCCTGCTTTTTATGACCCCAGATAAAAATCTGTCGGCTATTTCGTACCAAGCCAACGAAGGAACATACACATCATTAGCTCCTGATCCGGTCCCGGTAGATTTTTTAATTTTTACTTTTTCCTGGGTGTATGTGCTACGAATGTTATTTATTTTCGTGTTCACCTCTTTAATTGTAACCTCCATATTGAGGTTATGTATAATGCGCTGAATAGCGGCATTCCGGGCATCTTTGTTTTTATAGTCTTTGAGTCGCACGTTCCACAACACTTGTTCTTCTTCATACAGTTCCACGAACCTTACAGTATCACGTTCCGTCCACTTTTTCCTTGACGCCGCCATTTTTAATTAAAATGATTCGAGCTGAGATCCGAGTGAAAAGGGGAAAATAGAGCATCATCCAATTCCACTCTGATTAGATGCCGGCGTCCGAGTACGCTCGGATTACATTTTTACGCGATACGAGTAACGTCCGAGTAGTAATCCGAGTGCACTCGGTCCGAGCCAACTCTTATCGTGTCGACCCGGCTTTACCGTGCCCACTTTCAAAAAATGACCACGACATATCAAACTTGTGAAACTTGTGAAAAGATGAAAAATACTTAATCAGAAAAAAGTTATTTTTCTGTCGGTATAGGGAACTAGGGCAATCGGAAAAAAAATATTTTCTTGAGATTTGGTACTAAGGATTTCCCAAGTTCTATAATGGGTTTGACGTGGGCCCATATGGCATGTGGCTGATGTATATTGGAGGGGGAGTCAGTACAGAATGACTTCTGTCGGCCTTTATAAAATATGACTCCCGTATGTAATGTGACTTGCACTTTAGAGGCACCAAAATGCATTGCTTGAACTTTTTCTGCCATTTTACATTCAAAGTTTTCTGAAAAGTCACAATGCACAGCCATTTCATTTTATCATCTAAATTTTCAAGACAGGTTTTATAGCTTTTTGTTTGGTGCCACATATTAAAACTGTGAACTTTAAATAATTTTAAAGATTCCTCAAATATTTTTATTAGCTCTGCAATAGTACCTTTTTATTGATGTTACTGTTGCCGTTCTTGTCCGTCGTCATTTTGTGTTCGTTTTTTACAAGTGTAGGTTTGGATTTCCCACATTTGCCATTTAATTTCTTGAGATGATTTGTTATTCTCCAAATTGTAGTTTATAGATACAGATTTACACTTTTCGCACTTGCTATACATACAAGCGAATGACCGAGTATTACAAACTATTTTTTTTGAGATCATGAGTTTTACATACATCAATAACTTTGTGTTGTTTAAGAGCGGCTAATTTAAAACTAATATTACTGTTTAATACAAAGGCAAGTGTTTCGGTTTTGTAGGTTGGGTGAAATAACGTAAAACGGTCTATACCGGCAAAAAGATGCAAAAGAAGTAGAGCACCTTCCGACTTGTATTTTTCGTATAAAATTTTTGATGAATTATTAAGAAACCGTATTTGTTGTTTGTTTTTCTTTTTCGTTTTGCATTCGCGTTTGCCAGAGGTTGCTCTGCTTACATCATCTCTGATATAAAACTCGATTATAGACTTTTGGAGTTTCAAAATCCTGTTCGTAGTTTTCTCATTTCGAACTCGTGTTTTTAGGTCTATTTTTTTTAGAAATGAATGACTTGTGCTTTCTAATGCTTTACTACTTTTCACAAGATCATTATTAGCGATTTTCTTTATAAAGTCTTTCTCTTTATTACTTTTCCACTGTTAGTAAGTCAACTTTAAAGATGCTTCCAAAATTTCATTTCTAGCCTTTAACCGATTAAGTTCTGCTTCACTTTTATTCTTTTCTTGCATTTTGCTTTTTTGCAAATGATATAACCTTTTCCTCATTGTTTCTAACGCTCGATGCAAGTAATAATTCGATTTTGAGCTGCTATGTATTTATCTTTCTAGTTTTCTCTTTTTACTCTGGATTTTCTGGCACTGGAATCTTTTGTGCTTGCGGTATTTGATGCAGCTTGTTCGCTACTTTTCTTCTTATCTTTTTGCTTTCTTTTTTCTTCTCTCCATTCCTTCCTTTTCTTTTTTTTTCTGCCTCAGGCATTTCTGATATACTCTTATATTTATATTTAGATTTTATTCTTTCAAGGTTTTTCTTTCGCTGTTCTTCTGTTTTCGGGGTTTAATTTTAATCGCTCCCTATAACGTCTCATCTTCTCGACTGCGGTTAACATTGATAAAATTTTATTAAAAGTATTGCTTGTATAAAAAACAATATAACTGTTCATATACCTAAATAAGTAATAAATTCCTCAGTATTCTTCTTCTTCGTTCACCTGCAGACAATAGAATACAATTTATTTGTCAACTGTTTGAAAATTGTACTTTAACACTTTTTACTCATCATCATCATTATTTCAGCCGACTCCACGGAAAATATCGAAGTTTAGCCAAATCAGTAGTTAGACTGGTAAAGCGGACTCCAGACTCCAAAGCTGAAAGCTTCGGATGCGAGTGGGATTAACGCTAAGATGATGATGATGATCATCATTACAGCCGACGTCCACTGCTGGACATAGGCCGCAATGCGGTTGTGTTTCGATTCTAAATGGCATAACCAGTCAGTTTCGTGAATATGAATTACAATACGTGGTATATAAGTTGATCCAAAATGGCGATCGACCTTCAGTGCGCAGTATAACAGATATTTGAGTCTCCAAACAAAGCGACCGTAACCATAACAACAACGGCCACTTTGGTTTAACTTATTTACCGTGTGCTATACCGTGCTTTATTATATGCATCAAATGAATATTCACAGAATGTATGTTTTAGTGCTCACTTCAATAATAATAAAACTAATGCACTACTTAGGAAATTCATTTGAAAAATTACGTAATAAACAAAAGTACGTTACGTAATAAAAAAACGTAAATATACAAAAGTTTTTATTTTGCAATTTATATTATCTGATTGTTATTAACAGCCTGATATTAATTTGAAAACGATGCAAACTGTATATCGAATTATTATTTTAAATTTAATAATATAGTTAAACGTATTTTAAGAAAATATTATATAGGTATTTAATATTGCTTTAATACCTACACTGTAGTAAGGTATAAAAGCAACATTATATTATATGGGATTCACGAATATATCTTATGCGATATACATAAAAAAGGATTTTTAAAGCAATTTG